TGGCGTACGGGACGACATCAGATATGTTCGACGAATACTTGAAGATGTCGGCTCGGAGCATCAGGTCCTGTGTTTATAAATTTTCAAAAGCTATTATTCAAATTTATCATAAAAGATATTTACGCAAGCCTACAGCGAGCGACATCCAGCAGTTGCAGGCGAGGCATGCTGCTAAACACGGCTTTGTCGGCATGCTTGGGAGTATTGATTGCACGCATTGGGAATGGAAAAATTGTCCCACTGCGTGACATGGTCAATTCTCCCGGGGAAATCATCCCAAGCCTACCATTATGCTCGAAGCTGTTGCTTCGAATGACTTGTGGATTTGGCATGCTTTTTTCGGTGTCGTGGGCTCGAACAACGACATCAACGTTCTCGATCAATCGCCTGTTTTTGACGATTGGGTTAATGAGACCGCACCAGACTCCTCTTTTGAGCTTAGAGGGACGCTTTACAAGTGTGGATATTATTTGGCCGATGGAATATATCCGGATTATTCCACGATTGTCAAATCACTCTCCAAACCTACAAAAAAAGCTCAAGAGGCTGCGAGAAAAGATATTGAACGAGCCTTTGTGGTCTTGAAGGCTAAGTGGCACATTCTAGATCGTCCGTCGAAATGTTATTCTCAGACAAAAATGAGGAATATCATGTACGCATGTATTATTCTTCATAATATGATCATAGAGGATAACGGGTATGCGATTTGTCAACACAACCCGTACGAGGAGGTGCCTATGTACGAAGAAATCACCGAAGAAAAGAAACGACGCAACCGCCAAGAAATTCGAAGCCGAGAGATTCACAATGTACTAACGGCAGATTTGATCGAGCATATCTTTAGTCGTTCGAATAATTAGTGATTTCTTTGTACTGTTGTTTTTTTATGTAATTTTTTTAATGAATGTAATTTTTTTTGAATGTTTTTTTATGAATGTAAGATTTTTTTTATAATGAATTTAATTTTTTTATGCACTAGTGTAATTGCGATTAATTAAAATAATAAATTAATTTAAATTATAAAGATGTATATTTAAAAATGTAAAAAATGAAGGTTTGAAGCCCCAGTTTGAAGCCCCGGGGCTTCAAAACCATTTCCAGTGAATTTTGGGTGTAAGTTAAAGCTGACGTGGCAGAGAGAGAAAGTTTGAAGCCCCGAGGCTTCAAATGTATTACCAGTGCTCTAGAGCTTTATCTTCATAAAATATGAGTGGTTATTTATCCGCCACGTGAAAGCACAATACTTTGACTCGAGGATCCCTATAAAACAAGTCAAATTCAGATACACACCAACATGTCTCGCACAACGATATATACCGGAAGTCATAATACATTTTCACCTCATTGAATTCTTTTTCCTCTTTTGCCTCATTGGGGTTGCTGACAAATGTTGTTTTTATACGACCATTACCCTTGTTGACATTTTTAAATAAATATTTAATAGACTTTGACTAGTTATGCCACTTCACATTGGCGTGGGCACCATATTTCAATATCAGTGAACGATTATGCGGGATAACATACCTATTATCTAAAGCAATGTTGTTCCTCATGATGTGGGATAGTACAGGTAGGGGTATGGGTTGGATGTGGGTGGTAGGTTGTTCGTTATGGGCTTAGGTATGTGGTTTGAGTGTAGTAGACTTGGGCTGGTAGGACCCAACAGGATTGAAATTTGAACTAATTCTTTTAGTCTTGCGTGTCAACAACTTGAGTTGCATGACTTAATAGTTATTAGATCCGTCCGTTGCACTATTAACAATTTGTCTAAAATATAAAGAATAAAAATAAAGAAATTTGTCTAATTCAAATTTAATTGTTAATAGTATTTGAAGTAATGATATATTCAGAAAAAAACTCTTTACTCCATAATATATTCATATAGTAGAATATTTTTTAAATTAAATTACACATTCTCATTTCTTTAAAAAATAACACTAAAAAAGATAATCCAACAAATACAGGATCTCTTCGGAACACAAGTTCATACAATTATACTGAACATTCTCGCACTCTTGTCTTCGTTAATTTGTTTTTTGGAGAAATTTATAAATATTACGAAGTATGTTCCTAGAAAGACCTAGTTTAGCATAAATCAAAGATAGTATAATTAATTTCCTTCTTTATAGGAACAACAAGTATACAATTCAATTCCATGAGAGTAAAATCTATGAGAAGAACGTAGACAAAATCTCACTAAATAAAAATGGTAAAAATCAAAAGTGAAAACTTTTACTTCTAAATTATGAGAGATAAATGATCCATTGATAAAGTAAAAAACTTCCATAAAAAAGAAGAGAAAAAAGAAACAAAAGAAATGGAAAAAAAACAAGTGAAAATATATTAAAAAAGATTCAATTGTCATTCATAATTAAACTGAGCACATAATAAATTTTGTTTTTTGAAAAAATGTAAGTATATTCAATCTTAAAGTCAAAGAATACATTAAAATATTTATCTCCACCAACTAAATTATCTACCAAAGTATTATTTACAGAACAACCCAAAAAGAGACAATTAAACCATTACTTTCTACATTTTTACTTTCTTCGTGATATAAGTATTGAAATGATATACCTCTTTTAACTGGTGCATTTTCTTGCAGTCAGATGCTTCCTCTCATGTTTCTTCTCATTTATATAGCAACTGGCAGTATAGGCACGACCGCAACATCCATTATCCACTTTTTGGGTGAGATTTTCTGCAACTTGTCCTGCATTCCTTGGAGAGATGTTGCCACCAAGTCTGATCCCTCACAAAGAAGCATTTTCTTGAACACTTCTTTAGCAAATTGACGGAAGCAGAAAGGATGTTCGATATCCTTTGTCAAATGTTTGTCCTTTGAAGGAAAAACAACAAATAACAATAATAGGTCCTTAAAAACTAACGCGTTCAAAAATATTAAGACACTAATGAAGAACAAAATAGTAGTGTTTATGACTCAAGATTTAAGAAGCAACTAATACCTAAAATGCAAAAATTATACCAAATGATTTTCACATAGTCTAGATCGCCCAAACCTTTGTAGCTACTTTGACTTCTTAGAGCTTTCCATATGTCAAAGTAAAGACAACAAAACAATTAATTACTGGCCACTCATTCCCTCCTTTGGACCATAAAAGTGCAAAACATTCACAATGATATGAATGTGGCACATGAATCTCGTGAACCACATAAAAAGTGAACTATAACTTGCAATAAAACATTTTACACTAAAAATTATAATAGGAGCAGTAAGCTTGAGCTCAATATGTCCCTAGATGTTTAATAGTGGTAAATATAGTACTAACTGTAAATATTTTAGTGTTATAAACTTTTATGCCTAAGATATATTTTTGATAATGGACCTAATAAGGTAATACAAAGTAAAAAAAGAAGATGAAAAGAAGTATACCTAAAAATGCCATGGAGTAAGCCACTAAGGTATTTATAGTGGAAAAGAGACAATCCTTAAGTGATTTGATTTATTGATCCACACGATTATTAGGGGAAATCATCCTAGAAAGCCTATGACATGTATCAACAATAATTGCATATAATGTAATGATTAAAATAGAATGAAATCATATAAGCAAATTGTTCTTCACTGCTCTTGTTTTATAAAATCCTTCTGAATAAAAAGACCAGTTTGATGTTTTTCTTCTCTCCCTTGACTGAAAAGGTTTAGTTATTAATACAAACCTGTTTTCAAGAGGGCATATGAAAATTTCACTTCATCCAAAAACACTGCCCTGGCCTTTCAAGAATAATAATATACAAACATAATAGTTTTGTAATGCCCCGAAAATAGGTCTATCAGAATTAATTAGTTGCAAATTAATTAATTACTTGGAAGGACCCAAAAATAAGTGATTTATAAAAGTTTGTCAATAAATAATGAAAATTATATCATTGTGTAGAATTTGACTATCTGACCGCAACAGTTCAATTAGATTTTAATTTGGAGAAAGTTGGACCAAAAAGTGTACCCCGACTCGAAACAATTTAGTCCCAATCAGGGGCTTGAGTTTGAAATCCAAAGCAATCGTCGTTCGTTCCACTCAGTCGTGCAAACAGGAGAGTGTACACATCATCATTGACATCTTTCTCTTCTTCTCCTATATAAATACCACTTCAACCCTTCAATTTCTCATCATTCTACACAATTTTTCTTCCTATTTTGTTGCTCTAAGTGAGGAGAATGTAGTGGTGCTGACAATTTGGTGAGAGGTCGCTGGAGTTGAGAGCAATCATCGTCGAAAGTTTCGCCGTAAAAATCTCAAAACCTTCGTTAAGCTTCGAGATAAGCTCGTAGATATATCTAGTGATTAGAATGTTTGTATAGATCGTTTCTTCGTTTATAAACGGTCGTTTGGTTGAGTTTTGTGGTTGACATGCTTGAAGAACGAAGAATCACAAACCTTGAAATTCATGTTAAAATTACGAACTAATGATACCAAATGATCTATGAACCTTCAAGAACATTTCTATATAGATTAATTGAAGTTTGGTGACTTAAAATGATATTTCCGAAAATTGGCCCCAGGTTGAAGATGACAATGTTCAAAACTACGCGCATAACGGTAGCTAGCTACCGTCCAGACGGTACCTTGGTACCGCCGACACGATACGCCGTACTGTCAGAATGGTAGGCTAGCTACCATCTCTATCGCAGAAAAATCCTCCTCTCGCGGTATCTGCTGCCAAACGGCACCCCATATCGTTTTGGTGGTACCGAGGTATCGTACGTCGGTAGCGAGGTACTATTAAGGGTACCGTCTGACCCGAGAAGTTTTTAGAAATTTGATTTTTGAACTATTAAATCATATTTTTGATATCAATCAATTATGGTAAATGTAAATATGGTTTATGGAAATAAAAATGAGTTTTTTGACAATTAAATTCTTATGTGATGCATGACGATAAGCTAGAAAGTTAACACTCGATGCTAGACCGCTAATTGTTATTGAATATTGTGATGATTACTATTTATTAATGATTATGATGAATATTCTGATTAGAATGTTAATCATGAATGATTAAGCCATGAATTAAAAATGAATATATTGATGATTATGTGTATTGAATTTAAGGGTATCTAGAAGAACTCTAAGATATACCCATAATGATGTTGATTTTAAGGGTATCTAGAAGAATGATACGAGCTCGTACCCTCCGTAGAATTCGAGTGTTCTCTAACTCCCAAGTAACACGAAAAGAAAAAAAAGGTTCGGATACAGAAGGAAGAAACAAGAAGAGGGGAAGGGGAAGGCGTGAAAGAGGAGGAGAGAGGTTTAGGGTTTAATTATGCTCCTTATTAAAAGATGGGGTATGTCTATTTAAAGTAGAGAGACCCTAACCCTAAGTTGCCTACGTTTTCTATCCTCACGGTTCAAAAAAAGCGAGGAGGTAAAGAACCGTAAAGAATCCCTCGAAGGAGCTTATAATTAAGTTATTATAATCTTGTTGCCATACTGGAGTTCGCCTCATTCTCCCATTTCGACGTCCCGTGGTCGTCCTTACTTCAAGTTGTGGTTCCTGCGAGTGTGTTGCGTCTGTAACATTCCCCCTTTCTTCTAGAAGCACCTTGTCCTCAAGGTGGAGTTGTGGAAAACGCTAGCGAAGCAGGGACGTCGGTTCCCATGTAGCATCATCCAATGTGCCGTCACTCCAACTGACCAAGCTCTTATCTTCGACCGAGCCATTACGCAACACCCGGCGAGTGGTGTGAACTGCTACTGGAGTGGATTGTGGATGGCTGTCAATAAATCCATCCGGTAAGGTTTGAGTGCGCAAGGCTGATTGTGACCCCTGAAATGGTTGTAAGACGGAGACGTGAAACACCAAATGAACTTTTGAAGTAGCAGGTAATTTTAGACGGTATGCGACTGGTCCTAAATGTTCCAGTACCTCAAATGGATCATTAATGCGCATTACAGGTTTTTGAGAAGATCGACGGACTACCGAATGTTGACGGTTGAGCTGCAAATGGAGCAACACGAGGTCCCCGACCTTAAACTCAGGGTCACGGCGCTTGCCATCGGCTATGCACTTCATACGGTCCTGGGCTTCCTTCAAATGTATGCGTAAGCGCCGTAAGGTGAAATCCCGCTCGCGAAGCACCTCATCCACAACAGGAGCTCGCCTGCGTCCGGTACTATAAGGAACCATTTTTGGGGGTAGCCTGCCATAAAGGGCTTGGAATGGGGACATACGAAGACCAGAGTCGTAACTTGTGTTTAAGGAATACTCTGCCCTGGGAATTAAAACAGTCCACCGTTTTGCCCGATCGTGAGTGTAGTAGGCAAAGGCCACTCAACAATCGCCACGACTTTATCCACGTGTAACCTACCAGTTGTAATAACATGCCCCAAGTAATCAATCGATCGGGTGCCGAACGAGCATTTAGAGAGTTTCACAAAGAAGTAGCGAGAGCTCAACAAACCCAACGCTGCCTCGAGATATTTAGCATGCCCCAGCACCGAGGGGCTATAAATCAAAATGTCATAAAAAAGACGATGACAAACTTACGGAGATAGGCGACAAAGAGACGGTTCATACAAGATTGAAAAGTGGATGGTGTGTTTGTCAGACCAAAGGGCATTACGCAGAATTCGTAATGACCTTCATGGGTACGGAATGCAGTTTTATATATGTCCCTGTCATGCATGCGGATTTGATGATAGCCGGAGCGTAAATCCAATTTGGTGAATATCTGTGCTGATCATAATTTAATGCTCACAGGGTTGAATACCTATTCGCTGATATCGTTGTTAAGCTCCATGGGTTTCCCAAGACGTTGGTCTCTGATCGTGACAAAGTTCAATGATAGCGGGAGCGTAAATCCAACTTCTACATGGATTGGTTCAACTTTTGCATTACCGACGTATGAGATTGAATCTGCCCATTAATTTGTGCTTGGAATTCTTGAAAACGGTCGGTACTAACGGAGTTAGACGACATGGTAAACCCAATGAGAGCACCTATGATACGAGCTCGTACCCTCCGGAGAACTTCGAGTGTTCTCTAACTCCCAAGTAGGGGTGGACACGGTACGGTTCCGGGCCGGTTCCGGTTTCGGTACCGCCACCCCTAGGAACCGGTACCGTGACCGGACTGGGCAGTACCGGTTCCGGTACCAGGACCGGCAGTTTCGGTACCGGACCGGCCGGTTTCGGCCACACCCAAATTTTTTTTTTTGCTTTTTTTTAAAAAATTTTTAAAGTGTAAAATTTTAAATTTTCAATTGTTAAAGGAAAGAATGAAATAAAAAATCTAAAAATGTAGTTGTTATTTAAATATTGTAAAATGAGTAATACACGAACTGAACAACAACTACATTTAATATCCTGACGGTTCAAAAAAAGCGACGAGGTAAAGAACCATAAAGAAACCCTCGAAGGAGCTTATATATCGCTCACCTAAAAAAACTAATTACATATTTACACTAACATAAAAAAAGTTTATAACTTATTCCTCCGAACTCAGACTTCCATCTGTGGTTGCATTCATGTAATGCTCCGAATTGAATTCGTACCCTGACTCTTGAGCTCGACGTCTTGCCAAGAGCCAATCTTGGTTGCAAACAAGTGTTTCAAGAGATTCAGCGTTAAGACAACTTCGGAAGTCGGTTAGAATGTTGTTGCCAGCTTTGAATTCTCGCTCCACAGCTACGGTTGATACCGGGACGGACAACACTTGTCTTGCTAGCTTTCCAATACATGGGAACATGTGTTCGTTCTGCTTCCACCATCCGAGAACGTCAAACTCCACGTCGTCCTCGTCGTAATTGCATGGCACCCCTTGGTACATAGCATGTTTGTTGTGCGAGCTTTCTATTGTACCCCTTGAACTCATCGAAGGCAGAGCACGCTTCCCTTTCTTTGCAAGAAGCCCACTGACTATTCCTTTAAAACCTTTTTTTGATTTGGGGGCGGAGGAGGTGTTGTTTCTTCTGGTACAGTACCGTATAACCCTTGATATTCCTTAAACAAATCCTCAAAAAGAGTTATAGCATTATCTCTTTCATTTTTCCATTCTATTAAATGGTTGTAGTAATAACTATTTTCATCTAAAAAACAAGTGTAGTAATAGTCAATTAAAATTTTAAAATTTTCAATCTTAAAGCGTGGATCACAAATAATACCTATTTTATAAATATCGAGAATGTACAAATAATAAGCACATCATTTATCTCTCATAGCAGAGACATAAGGGTACGGATCTTGATCAGCCAAACTCTCACGAAAACATGTTGCGATTGTAACGCACTCTTTAAAAAATATATTTGTAGTTGGTTGGTAAACATGTGAAAAAGTAAGAGTTGCGTTATTAAAAACTTCTAATACGGAATTCAATTTTTCAACAATAACAAATTCAATAGGTGAAATGATTATACGAAGTTCATCACTAAAAAATCCATCAAGTTCCTCTTTATAGTTTAGAATCTGTGCTATCAACTTATAAGTATTATTCCATATAATGTGGATATCTTTGGAAAATGTTATTTCTCTTCTATCCTTAGACTTACAGAATATCTTCCAAGACCTCGAAATAAGACGAGCCCCCCAAATTTTTCTAATTCCTTCTTTAATATTCGTCAACCCCCCCCATAGCTTCGAGTCCCTGTTGAACACATAAATTTAAAACATGACAGGCACACCGTTGATGCAAAAATCTACCCATAGTCGTAATAGGGGGGCAAATTTCTCTAAGTCTAAGAATAGAAACAGTATTATTAGTAGCATTATCAAAACCAAATGCAAAAACTTTATTAGCTAAGTTGTATTCCCGCAGAATACTCTGAAGCAATAGAAAAATATTTTCAACAGTATGAGAATCATTGAAATCACGAAATGCAAGAACACGTTTATGCATAATCCAATTACTATCTATCCAATGACAAGAAACACCCATGTAAGACAAATTATGATAAGTTTCACTCCAAATATCAGAACAAATAGCAACACGAGAATTAAAATTGAGAAAAAAATTTCCAAATTTATTTTTTTCAGTTTTATACTGGCGAATAATTTCTCGTTTAATTGTTTTTCTTGAAAAACCTCTTGCTTGAGGGTTTAATGCCTGTTGAAAATAATCAATAAATCCAAGTTTTTCAGAAAACATGTATGGCAAATTTTCTTCACAAATCATTTCGGCCATTTTTTGCTTATTTTGCTCGTCGCTGTAAGTAAAAAGGCCACCCTTACCCCTGTTAGCAAACCGAGAAATTTGGGTTTGCACTTCTTGTCGTCCATTCTTTTTCGCCGCGTATTTGGCGTACTCCACGAGATGCCTCGACCTTAGGTGTTTTTCCGGACCGCCATAACCGCCGGAAACTCTCATTTTAATAACGGTCCCACAATACTTACAAGTTCCATAAACTATGCCATCTTCTGTTTCTTTTTCAAAATGATAAACAAATAAATCCGATTTTAAATTTTTTTACCTTTGTCCGGACCTCGAGAGGTCTCGTGCTCACCTGCCTCCACGTCGACGTCGTTGCTGTGCAGTGTAGGCTCCTCGTCCCCGTCCAGATTATCCAGTCCTGCTTCATCAATATCCTCAAATAGACTATCAAGAGTGGGGAGATTCGCGTCCCCTCTACCAGAATAAATCTGGTCGAATTCTTCATCCGTCATACCCTCCTCGATGAATTGATCGGGGATAGGTGGAAAGGAAGAGACGGAGTGTCTTCCTCAAGAACCGTGTGAGGTCGAACCGTCGGATGTTGCTTTAGCTTTGCCTCTCCTCAAACTTTGGTTCACGGTGCCTATATCCACCGACCTTCTACCGGACTCTCTCGACATTTTAATATATATTTTTTTGATAAAAAGGACTATATTAAAATATTTATAATATTAAATATATATATATATATATGGAATTTCGAAATTATAATATTATTTTATAACAAATTAATATATGAGAATATGATTATATATTTATATGAATAATGAATGTATAACTAAAAATTTAGTATTATATATTTATATGAGTATATATTTATATATTATATAATATGTTAATATATATTTATATTATTTTATAAATATAAAATGTATAAAAGATAATATGAATTGAGAAATAAGATTTAGGAGAATTAGAGAGGATTAAGAGGAAATGAGAATGGTGTGATATTTTTTTTAAAAAAATGGGGTACATCTCTATTTAAAGTAGAGAAACCCTAACCCTAAGTTGTCTATGTTTTCTATCCTGACGGTTCAAAAAAAGCGACGAGGTAAAGAACTGTAAAAAAACTCTCGAAGGATCTTATAATTTTGCTCGCCTAAGAAAAACTAAATTACATAATTAAATAAGGAATAATTAAGTAAATGCCTACAACAACAACAACCCAGTTGTACGCAGACCTTGCCCCTACTCGGAAGCAGGGAGGCTGTTTCCAAGAGACCCCCGGCTCAACCTGCACAAAAAAATGATAGGGTACACAGTATAGCATGGATAAAACACCAAGTACAATGAAAAGAAAGTTCTACAAACATTAATAGAAGATTCCAATCAAACACAACACACTACAAAAAACCTCTGTAGCACCGAATTCCTAACCAGCTACTCTAATCCTAGTTCTCCAAAGGTTCCTATCTAAAGTCATATCCTCAGTCAGGGTGAGAAGTCCTAGATCATGTCTAATCACCTCCTTTTAATTCTTTTTAGGTCTACCCCTTCCCCTACTTCCCCCGATAAATGCCTACTACATTTCATAATTTTGTTGCCAGCCTCGAGTTCACCTCGTTCTCCCGCTTCGACGTCCCGTGGTCGTCCTTCCTTCAAGTTGTGATTCTTGCAAGTGTGTTGAGTCCGTAACAAAGAACTCTGAGATATACCCATTTAGTTAGACCTTGCGAGTATGATGTCTGGTTGTCAGGGTTAAAATGTACGTACGAGATCCACAAATTAATCTTCAGTACCTACTCGTTTGGGCGTACCACTCAACCTAACATTGAGCATTCCGCTGCTCGGTTTTTGGTTGACCTTAAGCAAAGGTAAGTTTATGGTTTTGAAAACCTTTTTGAAAATATGTATCTTAAATTAGGTCTAGCTTAAGAGTTGGTTAGGAGTACATTAAACTAAAATATAATTAGTTTTAGAATTAAATTGGCCTTAGATTACGAATAGTTTATGAGCATTGTTGACATTATGAATGTTAAATATGAATGTTGAATATTGATTATTGAATATCTGAGCTGAACATTATGTGCATGATATCAAATGAATTGATTATGAATTGAGATTCAATTTATATAGATGTTCGACGCATTAGACATGCTTACTCAGCTTCAACGTTGAACGTGTAGTATGTTTTATTTGCTACACGTAGGTGAACAAAAAGAATAAAGTGATGATTTCTTGGACGCAGATGGGGCGAGATAGTCGGGATGGATGTGAAAATTTGAATTGTTGTTTTAAAATACATAAAATTTATTATGATCTGTAATTGTGATTTATTAAGCTTTCGCAACCTTAAATACTTTGTTATTATCCTGAATGATTTTTGTGAAATAAAGTTTTTAAATGTTTGAAATATTTTTAATATTTACAAATACCAAGTTTATACTTTAGTCTGAAAGGGCTACAGACCTAGACGGATTAGGGTGTTACAAGTTTTCCATTCAAACCATATATTAAATCCACTAATCTACAAAATTTGTTTCTTTCCAAACGGATTTTATAATTTACAAAAAAACACAAAATTTATTTTAAATAGATCAAAATAATTAAATTGTATTTTATCCTAATTCAGAGTCCTAGACAAACTCAATTATCCTTCCAATCAAAAAATATTCCGCCAACCACACACCTTCAAAGCACAATAAGATAAAAAGTACAAGTAAAATATAGAAAAAGCTCACAATAGAGTCATTTAAGAAAATTCTTCTTCAGTGCTCTTAAAAAACGAATGCATATAATCGTGGCTACAGTGATCTTCAACATTAGCATGGGGGATATAATGTCCTGTTTGGCCATGGAAACCGTAGCATGAATTCTAGTTTAGCAGCATGCTTAGAAGATACAATTCAAGTGCTAGTGGAGTACTTTCAGTGGCTATTCTAATACGGTAGTGTTTTGGAAATTCATGTTAGAAGCTTGCCTGAGATGTAACTTGGGGTTGACATTATGTTAGAAATATACTCAGCAGATTTCATTCATGCTTCCATGTTAATGTGAACCTGAATGACAGATTTCCCCTTTACTTGTAAGAACAAAATTACCAAAAAACACACTCAAGAATGCTATGAAGAATGCTATGAAATGCTATTTAAAAGCTTTGAAAGGAAATATTGCATATCCCTTGCTAATTTTCAACAGCCTCGTGCATTTGCTTGGACTACTCAAATACGCCAATTTTCCGGTAAATTAGCAACAAAAGTATGCATTACAAGATGTTAGAAACAATAGAACATAAATATTGTATTGCAATCCTTTTACTTATTTTACAAAATAGTCATCTTTAACAATATTTTAGCTTCACATAAAGAATGGGGTAAATCATAATGATGCATTAAAATTCCTACTTATTATGACGTTTCGGGCGGTAAATGTATCAATGAATTAAAGCTCTAACGGAAACAACCTCTTTGTTTTTACATGAGTTAAATCACATAGAGGTGTTGCCACATGAGTAAAATCACATACATGAGTCGATCTCCGTTCAAAAATACTTTGTTTCAATATCAAAATCTTGAAAACAATCAGAATCTTGTAATTAGAATAAAATTATTTATGGAAGAATTCCCTAATTTACCTTCTCCCGTAGATCGACTTCAAGGAAATCTTCTTTGCAACTCATCTGCTTTCAAAGTAATCGTTGATCTCTCCTTCTTCACGTTGGATTGTTTCATCGTTCCCTCCCTCTACGCCTTTCTCTCGATCTAGGCTTGCTTGAGTATTTTATAATCGTCGGTGATCACGCTTATGAGTAGGGTAGAAGGTGGAAGTTATCGTTGAAGATATAAGGCGTCGAACTAGGCTTGCACTCGAAATTTGGTCAAAATTGGATCAGGTGTGAGTCGGGTAGAAGGTGGCGGTTGTCGTTGAAGAGATAAGCCGTCGATCTAGGCATGCACCCGGAATTTCATTTAAAATGAAATTGGATCGGGAGAAGGTGATCTAGCTAGAAGGTGGCAATTTTCCAACGCACGGGTTGCATTCTAAAATTGGATTGTCCGATCGAAAAATGAAATTAAAATTAGACCGTCAAATGCAGAACTCAATTTTGATTCTACTTTAATATATATAATAGATTTTAATTTTAAATATTTTATGCTTACTTCTTTATTTTTATTATTATTTATTTATTTTATTACAAAGTAGTATACATTTTTTATTATTAATAATAATTTATTTTATTTTCACATTATTTATTTAGATTTTTTGGCATTATTTATTAATAATTACTACTATCTATTTATTTCTTTTAATTTAATTTTTGTTTTAGTGATTTTATATTATTTTCTATTTACAAGGTGAAAAAAATTGGCAGAAGAAGAGAATGACAGGAAGAAAGGAAATTCTGTCTGACTTGGAAGGATTGATTTGGACGGGAGGGGAGGGGATCGAAGCTGAAATTTTAGATCTCTTCCCCTCCATATTTTTTAAACCAAACAAGGGGGGGATTCTTATTCCCTTCCCTCTCCTCCCCTTCCCCTCCAACCAAACACAGCCTAATAGAGCTTGTTTTCAATTTACTCCCTCCGTCACAATGTATTTGTTTACTTTAACTTTTTCGAGTCAAACTGGACAAACTTTGAGCTTTAATTAAATAAAAACTGTAATATATTTTAACATAAAAATGACTTTATTGGATTTATCGTATTTATAGCTTTCAAAATTATATTTCAGTATGCTAATATGCAATATAAATTGAGAGTAATTGAAGTTCAAAGTTTGTCCAGTTTGACTCAAAAAATACACTGAGACAGAGGTATAAATTTGTTTAAATAATGGTATAAAGTTTCAACATAAAGTTTATGTATTTTAACTGCATCCATTTTTTTAAAATAAAAGATGATGTGATCATTATTTTACCAAATGATTAATTAACAAAAATGAGTAAAAATAACAGAAAAAAGTTTAACTTCCCATAGAGTGTTACAGACCAAACGGAAGAACTCAACCCAAAAGACTAGTCTGATAGGTGAAGGTCCATTTGGCCTATAAACCCCACATCAATTGCCCATAGAACCGATGTGGGACAAGTCTCATACCTTGCAATGGTTTCAGTCCATAACATTCGCCCCTCCTTAAGGACCAACGTCCTAGTTGGTCACGGCCACGTTGGTCACGGATGGCTCTCTCTAGGCCACCACTCCGAGATTGGCTCTGATACCATTGTTACAGACCAAACGGAAGAACTCAACCCAAAAGACTAGTCTGATAGGTGAGGAAACCCATTTGGCCTATAAACCACACATTAATTGCCCATACAACCGATGTGGGACAAGTCTCATACCTTGCAATGGTTTCAGTCCATAACATAGAGCAAAAAAATTACAATGATGAGCATATACTATCATCTATCGCTATCACAATATTATTGACTTAATTTGACTTTTGCGGGTTTTTTTTTACAAATTGAATACGGAGTATAGTTTTAAATAAAAATGTTCTACATATCAAAACTACATTATGTAAAATTTATTTAGTGACAAATAGAAAAGAGAAATCTGAATTTAACTTAGCGAGATGATTGTTTTGATTTTTGTAAAACCAAATTTTTATAACGTTTTAAACATAATCAAATTTTATAAGTAATGAAATCTTGAAAATCTGGTTTAAAAATTTTATATCCTCTATAAAAGAAAGTATGACATAACTACATTATTTTAAGAAAATTATTAACAAAAATAAGTTTTTTTAAAAAAAGTTTAACTTATGAACAAATAATGAGAATACATATTTATTTATTTACTCTCTATCCTTAATTTTTGTTTGAAAATTTCTATATCCTAGAATATTTTTAACGGAAAACCTTTGATTGCAAGAAACCATATTTAGGAAACAAACAAAGAGTGTACTCAGTAATCCTAATTTCCTAATTCCCTAATACTAATCTTAATCCTCTAATCCTAATCCTAGTCGTAAA